CCTTCTCAATGCACATTTCACATCTGAATTCATGGTTCAGCTGATAGGCAAAAACACTACAAGGGAATCAAAGAGGTCTACATTGAAGAATGAAAGCAAAGATGTTTGGTGATAATTGGAAATCTTTCTGGTTCATTCCTACTGCCTAGATAAGACTGATATCAAAAACAGAGTGCAGAAATCAACCCAATATCATGGAGTCTATCTTCCTTGCATTTGAGCATCTTTCTGAACAGCGCGTTTCCTTTTCCTGTTTTTCCTCATCATTTACAGCATTACTGTGAGTGGAAACATCCTTAGAACTGCTCTGGTTGCAACTGATCAGCAACTTGATGCACCAAGGTACTTTTTCTAGGGAAGCTGTCGTCCTTGAAGACTGATTATGCCTCCACCATCCTGGCTAGGATGCTGACCAGTGCCCTGACAGGGGGCAGGAGAACCTCTGCTAGTGGCTGCCTTGCACAAATGTTCTTCTTTGGTTCATTGGGAGCCATTGAATGTTACTTCCAGCAGCAACCTCTTGCGATTGATATGTGGCATTAGGTAAGCCATTGTATTATACAGACCAGATGAACCACAAGTCCTGCCTCTGGCTTGAATCTGTTTCTGGATACATGTTTCATGGCTATGCTATTACATCATTGGTGCCTGCACCAACTCTAGTCTTGTGGAACCCCACCTGGAGTACTCCAGCTTTGAGGTCCCTAGCAACAAAAAGATGTAAACCTGTTAGAGTGGGTCCAGAAAATGGTCACAAAAATAGTCTGAGGGGTGAACACCTCTCCTATGAAGAAAGGCTGAGACAGTTGGGGTTGTTCAGCCTAGAGAAAAGAATGATCAGGGAAGACCTTACTGCAGCCATTCAGTATATGAAGGGTCTTACAAAAATGACAGAGATCAACACTTTTCCAGGGGCTGTAGTGACAGGACAAGGGGCAACAGTTTTAAACTTAAAGAAGGTAGATTCAGCTGAACATAAAGTTTTACAATGATGTTGGTAAGACACTGGAACAGGTTGCCCAGAGAAGCTTCTACAGCCCCATCCTTGGAAGTGTTCCAGAGTCAGGTTGGAAAGGGCTTTCAGCAACCTGATCTAGTGAAAGATGTCCCTGCCCATGGCGCAGGAGTTGGACCAGATGATCTTTCAAGGTCCCTTCCAACCCAAACATTCTCTGATTCTATGAACCACCCTTGGCCCCAGTGAAGGAGAGGACTTCTCTGATTTCAGGCTTGTGGCAAAACTTTCCTGCAGTGACACCTGGCTAATCCAGCTTTATCTTCACTAGCAACCACAGTCACTCACACACCCACACTTCTGGTTACTGGCATCACAGACTGCTGTACACACACATGCACACTGAATAAAGAGCTCCTTACTGTAAAATAGTTGAAGGTGGATTTTATGAAGGAGACAAGACAGACTGACTGCTGTGACCAGGGGCAGGGCATGATCAGACAAATGTACCAAGCAAGCAGCCCCTGCTTGTCCGTGAATGGACCCTTTTATTCCCTTATGCATCTACTTCCCACACCTGCTGCTCCCCAAGCCACTAAATCCCTCCCTTTTCCCACCTTTGGTTCCTCCCCTAAACATCCCACAATAAGTCCTGTCTAATCCCCAAAAGCTCTTCCCCTGCTGGGGTGGGAGGGGGGTTAGGGGACTGGTGGTGTCCTTCGTAATGTGTCCCTCACACCGTAACGTGCCCCACCAACCCCCCCTTAGTCGCAAAGGTGATCTGGAGAGCTCCTCTTGGTGATTCATCTTGATCGGTTTCACACCTTGACAATTGGGCTGAGGACTCTTCTAGAACGTGTGGGAGGAACCTGGACAAGGCAATAATTCCTCAGGAGTCTGAATTCCCCTGCCTGCCATTGTGCCCCTGTGCTCTTCTGGGTTTGTGGACATGAGGCCTTGGTGGGCTGGTGGCTCTCCTGTGATGGGCGTGGGAGCAGCCAGGGCAGGTTATTAATCAAATTACTGCTCCTGGCACTGTTTCTGTGTGCCTTCGTTGTGTGCACAGAAGAGCTGCTTATCACTTAACCTAGCACAGACATCAGCTTCTGAGACAGAATCCTGAAATTACTTTCTTTGTTAAAGGCAAGCAGCAGGCGTTCAAGAGGAAAACACATCTCACGCACCTTTCATATCTGAACTGGAATGAAACGCGTTGCGCTCTGGAAATCCTGTTTCCTTCTGTTGATGGTAAAGTAGATCTAGGGAACTGTCTTTAGAAATGCATATCTGAGTACAGTTCATTTCAGCTAACTTCAGTCTTCTGCAAGGTAAATGTTTGCACCAGAACTAGCCATAGAATCACAGAATTATTGAATATTCTGAGCTTCAAGGGACCTACAAGGATCATCAAGTCAAACTGCTGACTCCACACAGGGCAACCTGAAAGTTAAACCATGTATCTAAAAGTGTTGTCCAAGCACTTCTTGAACACTGACAGGCTTGAGGCCATGACCACTTCCCTGAGGAGCTTGTCTCAGTGGTTGGACACCCTCTCAGTGAAGAACTTTTTCCCAATATGCAATCTGAACTTCCTCTGGTGCAGCTTTAAGCCATTCCCTCATGTTCTGTCACCAGACACCAGGGGAAATAGATCACCGCCCTCTCTGCTCCTCCTCATGAGGAAGTTGCGGACAGCAACGAGGTCACCCCTCAGTCACCTCTTCTCTAAGCTGAACAGACCAAGTATCCTCAACTGCTCCTCATAAGTCCTGTTCTCTAGTCCTTTTGCCACCTTTGCTGCCCTCCTTTGGACACATTGTAAGATTTTTATATCTTTCTTATATTGTGGAGCCCGAAACTGCACAGAGTACTTGAGTTTCTTGTATCAGCAATAGTGTGGCCAGCAGGAGTAAAGAAGTGATTGTCCTCCTGTATTCGGCACTGGTGAGGCCGCGCCTCGAATCCTGTGTGCAGTTTTGGGCCCCTTATTACTACAAGAAAGACTTTGAGGTGCTGGAGCATGTCCAGAGAAGGGCAATGAAGTTGGTGAAGGGTCTAGAGCACAAGTCTTTTGAGGAGTGGCTGAAGGAATTGGAGTTGTTTAGCCTGGAGGAAAGGAGGCTGAGGGGAGGGGACCTTATCGCTCTCTACCTGAAAGGGGGTTGTAGTGATATGGGTGTTGGTGTCTTTTTCCCAAGTAACAAGTGATAGGAAAAGAGGAAATGGCCTCTAGTTGTGCCAGGGGAGGTTTAGATTGGGTATTAGGAAGAATTTCTTCTCCGAAAGGGTTGTCAGGCGTTGGAACATGCTGCCCAGGGAAGTGCTTGAGTCACCATCACCGGAGGTATTTAAAAGATGTGTAGATGTGGCGCTTAGGGACACGGTTTAGTGGTGAACTTGGCGGTGCTGGGTTAATGGTTGGACTCGATGATCTTAAAGGTCTTTTCCAAGCTAACAGATTCTATGATTCTATGAGGTGAGGCTGCCACAAGGCTGAGTAGCGTCAAGTCACTCCTGCACCTGCATCGGAATAGAACATAACAGAAAGCCTACATGAGAGCCACACTCTTCAGAAACAGCAACTGCAAGCCTAACACAGCACCCTGCAGAGTGTAAAATGTAGCTGTTTAGTCACTTGAATTGTTCCTCCATGCTCCCTACATAGTCAAAGACAATAAATAGGTATTTCTTCTTACAGGGTTATCAGGTCTGAAAGTAAAATTAGGATTCATGGTTTAGAATCACAGACAAATCTTTTGGAAGTCCTGACAAATCTTTTGGAACTCCCAACAAATGAACATCATTCAGCTGCTCAAAATCAGGCCACAAGGATTCTACTGTGTGAGGGTTTGGGGGTGAGGGTGGGAGGAGATGGAAGGGAGTGACAATCTACTTTGAGAAAGTAGGATGTGCAATTCTACAGGTAGTTTAGATGAGTTACAAAGCAGACCTTGTGAACAGTAGTTTATTTAGATTTGAAGTGATGATGAAAAAGACGCATGTCTTGCCCTCTACTCACAATAGTAATTGCTCTACCTGATGCAATAAAGAAACAACAAACATTCCAGAGGTGACATAACCAAATGGACACCACCAAAACACCTCTCTGGGTTTCTCATTATGTTTGCAAATGAATGTCGCAACCTCTTGGGCAGTTTCTCACACACACACACACACACATACACACACTTAGATGCATCCTTTTTCCACAACAGCCCAATTATAAATTACACTCCATGAGCATATATAAAGCAGAGGGAAGGTGCGATAGGGACATAGGCAGACAGGCACATGTGAAGTGTTTGTGAGCATTACCCTGGATTTGTTGCATTACTGGTAGATCATTCTGCAAAAGTTGCTGCCATCAGCAAGTCAAAATTACCCATATAATGAAATCTTTATAAAAAGTCAATATATCCCAATGATATAAACTGTCTGTTTACTGGAAAATGAAGGGCTCATTACCAAGAACACAGAGGAAGTCTAATGAGGAAAACCTGATTATTTAATTCTGAGTAATAATCTGTGGTCAGTTAATTTTCACATGGCAGCTTTGCTGTCATTGTTCCTCATGGTGTAGATGACTGGTTTTATCACTGGTGTCAACACAGAATAGAGAAGAGAAGCTGTGAAACCCAGAGCTGACGGGCAGTTGGAGACAGGCTTAAGACAGGCAAAAGAACCAGTGCTAACAAACGAGGAGAGCACAATGAGACGAGGGATGCAGGCTGAAAAAGCTTTACTCTGTGTTTCCTTGACAGGAGTTCTCAAGACCATGGTAAGAATCTGAATATAGGACATACTTATAAAAGCAAAACAGATGACTACGAAGAGGAAACTAAATGTAAGAACTGCAACCTCACTGAAGTATGAATGAGAGCAGGAAAGCTTGAGAAGCTGTGGAGCTTCACAACCGAACTGGTCAATGATGTTGGACTTGCAAAAGGATAAATGGAAGGTGTTTGCAATACGGAGAGCAGGGTAAGGGATGCAGCTGAGCCATGCAATAGCTGCCATGAGGATGCAAGTAGTCCCCTTCATGATTTTCTTGCAGTAAAGAGGTTTATAGATGGCAATGTAATGGTCATATGCCACGACAGTGAGTAAAGCAAGATCAGCAGCACCAAAGACATGGAAGAAAAAGACTTGGTCAGTACAGCCAGAATAGGAGATGACTGTGGTATTCAACAGAAAATTGGCCATGGATTAGGGAGCGTGACAGAGACAGTTGATAGGTCTAAGACGGACAAATTCATCAAGAAGTACATGGAGGTGTGAAGGTGATTACTGACAGCTATGACCACGATGACGAGAATGTTTCCCACCATGGCAGCCAGGTAAATCCCCAGAAATACCATGAAGTGGAATATCTGCAGTTCTTGAGTATCAGAGAATCCCAGGAGAAGAAACTCTGTCCCAGTTCTTCGGTTGGACATTTTCTTTCCAGCGTGTTGGTGAAAGCTGTGAAGGGAAAGTCAAGGGTTTTGGTTGAGACTTGATGGTCTGGTCCATAGTCTCTGCAATGTCTGAGTGGAGAGACTGTGAATTTCACAGTTGCCCTAAACATATTTTGCCCCCTGAAGACAAGATGCATGAATCCCACACAATGGCCCAAACTGTAACTCAGAAACAAATAGCCTAGTTATCATAGTCCATAATATATAAAACACACACGTAGACACATATATAGATAATATACATAGGTGTATAATATATACGCCTGCAGCCTATATATGTTTTATATATGCATATTATGTATATCATAAATATTATATGCTTATATATATACATATTTATACAAACACTGTCCAAGTTTCTTATCATTATTTCAATATATATTTGTGTTCATATTTTTACATTCATACCTATTTACACATATGCATGAGATCCCATAATGTCCACTATGAAAACTCAGTAGAACATACTTTTTTCCCCAGAAGTATGTCCAGACAGAAACATGAGTCCCAACATGTCTGCAGTGATTCAACAGGGAGCTTTCAGAGTATTTCTCCTAACCCATGCTTTTACCTAGATTTAAATCTTAGCCCTATCAGCAAAATCCTCAAACTTTGCTGAATTCATATATTTCTGCTATTTTACATTAACAGCATTACTGTTATTACCTTGAATTAAAATAGCAAGCCTAACACGTTGCTCCTTTTGGATGTGTTTCCAAGATCTTAAGCCTCTGCTCCTCTCAAACAGTGCTTCTTTGTGAAAGAATCATTCCAAACACTGGAAATGGTGCTGTGCTGTCTAGGTATGAAAGGTGCAGTCACTGTAGTCTCCTTACACCTTAATGTCAGGAGAACTTAAAGAAGTAGGTACAAAGCAATTTACCTTAGAAAGAGCTGTGTACACCCGCCTCCTAGCTCCACTGTAGGGATACAATCAATGCTGTTATAAACCAGTCTATTAATGTCTCCCTCCAGACTTGTGGGACTACCATTCTGGAGGCCTGGACAGGAGCTCACAAGCACAGATGCTAAGCTAATCGGTGGTGTATTCTTCAACTGCGAAGTCAAAGTGGACAACTTGCTAATGGAATGCTTTTCATGTAATGGAAATCCATCTACAATTTCAGGCAGAAATGTAGATGTACCAGTACACATAGTGGGATATGGATTCATAGTACACTGGCTGGCAACCAGAGTTGACTGTCTTGTCATTGTAGAAAGGGAAGAATTGCTTCTTGACTTGTTAATATTATCAACTTATGGCAAAATTGTAAAGAAATTCTTGGGAGGTTTGCTTTGTGTTTGTTTCGGGGAAGGGGGTGGTTTTCTTGATTTTTTTGTTTTAGAACACTGAATTTATGGGCTTTTTTCTGTTTGTTTTCAAAACTCTGCCTGATGTTGGATCGTAAAGAAATGTCTGGCATTTTCTGCGTTGTCCTAGTGTAACTTAGACGTAAAATCAGAACTCGTAACACAGCAAAGGATGCCTGGGATCCTGTCCCTTCCTGGGGAAAGCATTTGGATGTGCAAGCTCTCTTATGTGTCTTGGTATGCCAGATACTTTTGTTAAGCAACAGAATATCATGTTTACTTCAAGTCAGCTCTATAGTTCTCAAAGTTCCCTTCACTGGCAAACATGGGAGCTCAGACATCTAGGTCCCTTGTAACTGCATACATTGCAGTCAATTCAGTGAAGGTATCTGAAGGTGAGGTTAGACCTTGTTCTCTTTCCTTTCCCCTGTTCCTCCAGAGTCGTCTACTCCCTCCCTTTGACTCAATAGGCTTACCACGCTTGTCTTTGCAGATTTTACTCTTTACTTCATGCATCACTTTATTCTGTAGTTGTAGCTCTTTATCACATTGACTCAATTCTTTTCCTCTGTCTTTGTTCACGAGTGCCACAAATCCCTGTAATCTGTTGCTCTCCTGAGCTTCTTAGTATTAAGTTAAACCAACAGCTGATGATGTAAACTGGTTCCTGCCTGCTCTGTGTTCAGCTGCCTTGGAAATTCTGAGGCATGACAAGGCCAAAGCATTGAGGCATGGATTTATTGCTGCCTCCTCCCAAGAGTGATCTCTTATGGATCTGGTGGAATCCTATCCCTGGAGCCTTGCACAACTCAGAACTAGAGACATTGTATAGTCACTGATATTAAAAAAAAAAACGTAAAATGTGATTGAAGCAACTGGGAAGCTGCTAAGAGTTCTTTGTATGGTCTTGATCCAATTTTGGTGAAGCAGTAACTAGACATGATTTAAGACTAGATTTAAGAATTATTAGAAAACGTGTCTCTGTCAAAAAGGTGATGGACTGTGGCCAACAAACCATGAAGAACTGCTTGGGTCTACCCAGATTAGAGAAGAAGTAGGCAAAAGGTAATTCTGAAAAGGGGATATCGTGACCACCGACTCATTGACCACCTACTCAAATGATACCACCTACTCAAAAAGGACAATAGAAGAAGAAGACAGAGTCTGCTCACTAATTTGTATTAGAAGTGAGGAAGAACAACCAATCACCGAAGGGAATAATGATGAATATGTATTAGTTAAGCGTATATTTGTGGGAAACTCTGAGGTCAGGTGTGTTGTCTTGGGACACACACCCGTTGATGTGCATCAATGAAATAGAATACCTCTACCCTGTGTGTATACTGGTATTTTGTACACTGGGTACTGGACCCTGCTTGTGGGACAACAATTGTACCAAGAGTTCCATGCTGTTTTGGCAGCAAAGATAAAGGGGCCATTGTGACCACCTGGTGCAACTCCACAAAGCAAAGGCATTGCAGAATTTTTTCCTTCAGGGCTAAGTTTCTTCTACATGATCTGAGTTGTGCATAGTCCAAAGTGACAGAGGTATTTAGGAACCTGAGGATGTGGTCAGGCATCTGAGGGAGAGTCAGTCCCAGACTCAGAACACTGCAGCACAGTTCAGCTCGAGATTAAGACATGTAAACTGATGCATCTAGGTGTAGAGAACAATCCAGTAGCTGTACAAGGAGGTCTGGTGCCTCTGGAGTTGCACTGGAGTCTTTCAGAAATGCACAAATGCATGACGCAAAGGACACAGCCCTTATGGGAGACTCATGGCATTTTCAGAGAGGTCTCTCAAAGGCATATCCATAGGCACTAGGTGCCCTTCTTTAGGTAACAGAATCGCATGATAGCTCTCCCCTGAATTCAATGGCACTTTAGTTTGCACCCCAAGCTCCCACTTCTGTCAAATTCAAACACTTTTTTCAAGAAATGAGACCCAGACCCACACATCGGAAAAGTGTATCTTTCTTTGGCCCTTCCTTGGGAAGAGAGGATGACTGCTTTTCTTGATTGGAATTGCTGCTCCAGCACTGTCAATGTAATCCCAGTTTTGTTTGAAAGGAACTTCTGGAGAGCAGCTGGTCCCCTGACACAGGGTCAAGTTCAAGGTTACATGAGGTTGCTGAAGGCTCAGCAGTCCCTTTCAGCTGCATTACTTTTTTCTCTCCAGCTGATCTTCAAGCATTTTGAACCTGCTGCTTTGGTATAAGCTAGTTATTTCAGGTACCAGGATCAGGCAACCAACTTCACCCGAACCAGCTCAGCTCCGTCTTGGCCCGTCTTGTCTCTTTTACTCTCTACGTCTGTCTTGTATAACACACTTCTCAAGTTTCCACTGCTGTCTGTCATGACCAGTCCTACCCCTTCCTCACAACATCACTCCTTCTATCCTTTCTGTTGCCACCATCTTACATTGAGTTTCCATTCCAATTACTGCCATTCATCTGACTTTCCCCTGGACCCACCCCTCCACAGCCTTATAGCCTAGATGGCACTCTTTGATGTAGACATCGTAACTGCAGTTGCATAAACGTGGGGAAACTGGTCCAACTGAAGTGCTTTGCTATAAAGGAATGAAAAAGTGAAAGTGGGACTTGATTATGGCTATGGAAAGAATACTATTCACACAGAACACATGACTGTGTAGAGAAAGAGTAAATCTACCATGAAGGCAGACTATTGTATCGATCCTGACTGGGAGACCAATGCACATTTAGGAGTTAGTGAACCACATGTCATTTAACCCGAGGAAGCTCTGTGCTGTGCTGTGGTGGCTTTCAGGTCTGTGCTGTGCTGCACAAATCCCTTGCCCGCACTACAAACTCAGGAGCTCATTGGAGCAGAGGAGCCTGCAGGCAGCTCCCAGCCAGTGCCCGCCGTTGTGCCACCTGCGTGTCCTTGCCTGTATCTGACAGAGCAGCAAGAAGTTCTCACGTGAACATCCCTTAGGAATAGAGCTGTTTTCTAGTGGGGAAATGATACAATAGCTCGGATGACCAAAAGGGAGAGCTTTTCTCTATGGACAGGATCTGCTCTGTGCAGTGCATAGTGGAAAATACATCTGAGCTCCATGTGGTTCTGCATGAAGGCAGACGCCCGTCTTCTGAAGGGATGTAAGATTTACTCACTATCTATTTTACTCTTCTTTGCCTTCTTAAAGCAGTCATCTTATTAGGCCATTTCTTCACACTCAGATCCAAAAAGAGCCCTGCATTGTCTCTCTCCCTCTCTCTCTCTTTCTCTCTCATCTCACCCCACCCACCCCACTCCCACCTCCTGGTGCAGAACAGCCATCCAGGCACCAAAGGTGACATGAGTATCAGCTTTGTGACCTGCTTAGCAAGCAGCTCCTGTGTATTTCATAGAATACCATGTTGGAAGGGACCTCAAGGATCATCTGGTCCAAACTTTATTGGCAAAAACACAGTCTAGACAACATGGCCCAGAACCCTATCCAGCTGAACCTTAGAGGTGTCCAATGTTGGGAAATCCACCACTTCCTTGGGGAGATAAATTTGATGGCTGATTGTGCTCATTGTGAAAATTTTTCCTTTTGTGTCCAACCAGTCTCCCCAGGAGTAACACATACCCATTACCCCTCCTCTTTTCCATGTGACTCCTTGTAAAAAGGGAGTCTTCATCTTCTTTGCAGCCACCCT